GCACATTAGAATAGGCAACCAATTCCTGCTCATAACCCCAAAAGCACATGCCATAAAAGATAAGATCGACAAGTGGGACCTCATCAAACTGAAAGGTTTTTACACAGCAAAAGAAATTATCAAGAGAGTGGGAAGACAACCACAGACCAGGAAAAAATATTTTCTAACTGTAGATACAAGGAACTCAAATGAGCTGAAAGAAAAAAAAACAATTAAAATGTGGGCAAAAGACATGAAGAGATACTTCTACAAGACATACAAACAGCCAACAAAGACATGAAAAAAGATGCTCAGGCCGGGCTCAGTGGCTCAGCCTGTAATCCCGTGCTTTGGGAGGCCGAGGTAAGTGAATTGCCTGAGTCCGCGGGTTCAAGACCCACCTGGGCAACTTGGTGAGACTTTATCTCTACAATAAATAAAAACATTAGCTGGGCATGGTAGCACGTGCCTGTAGTTCCAGCTACTTGGAAGGCTGAGGCGAAAGGATCGCTGGAGCCAAGCAGGTCGAAGCTGCGGTGGCCAAGAGCGTGCCACTGCACTCCAGTCTCCGCCACAGAGTGAGACTCCAACTCGGAAAAAAAGAAGATGTAACAATGGGGTTTTGCAAAGCATAACATTTAATTTCAGTTAACAAAGCATATAGTTACATGGGACTTATGGCTAAGGAGTTTTGTAACAGTCAGCAGGAAATGGTCAGCACAAAGGAGGCAAAGTTGGGGTCTGCGGTCATGGGAACGTTACTGTAATCACACGTAGGCATTGATTCTTAAGTCAGGCAGGTAACTAAGATGAAAGTTTTAAACAAAATGGAGTAAGCTCGTTAATATTATTTTGTTAGCAATTTGATTTTATTAACTGATTTAGCTCATTTCAAGGGGAACACTTCTACACTGAAGGTGGGAGTAAAAAATAGTTCAACCTTTATGGAAAACTATGTGGTGATTTTTAAGAGAACTGAAATTGACCTTCCATACAATCTAGCAATCCTTCTTCTGGGAATATACCTAGAGGTACTCAAATCATTCTACAAAAAAGATACCTGCACACACAAGTTTATTTCAGCACTATTCACAATAGCAAAAACATGGAAACCACCCTGCTGCTCATCAAAAGTGGACTAGACAAAGAAAATGTGGTACATACACATGATGGAGTATTACAAAGTTATTAAGAGGTACAAAATGATGGTCTTCGCAGCAACTTGGATGGATTTAGAGTTCATCATACTCAGTGATCTATCACAGAAACAAAGACGTGAATACCACATGCTCTCACTTACAAGTGAGTCTGCTACAGGCTGAAAAGAGAACATTTTGGTTATATTAAAATAGTCATTTAGAAAAGACTTAGATACTTATATAAAACTGAGTTGGGCTAAACATAGAAACCATTTGAATTTAAAGTGAACAATTTTCCTTATCCCTCCTTCGCTGTCCTTGGATCTAGTAACTGTTGCTGGTATTGAAGGGAACACAACCAACTTCACTGAGCCCCCTGAAAAGGAGATATACACAAGAATACTGCACGTCCCTGAAAAAGCCTCCACCGGACCTAGATAAGAAATGGGCTCTGCTGAAACCTTCTAAAACCCAGAAATGTATCTGTTCCCTTAGTCTCTATGTGACAACTGCTTTCTTTCATGTCTTTGTGTTAATTTTACGTATAATGTTTAATCAAGCCTCGTGAACCAGAACTCCCAGAATAAGCAAAATACTGTAACCAACTAGAAAGCACAGCAGTCCCAAATTGTTCAAGGTAATTGTAATTTAGAAGAATGGCAGGATTAATGTAATCTGAGCCATGGTTTGTGATAGTAACTGTTTGGGGACTAAACATTGATTAAGAAAAAAAAACTGAGTAATGGTCATGAGACACATAGTCATTATCAAGAGTGAGAAAAAGTTAAGTAACTGCATGTTTTATTATAAATACTGGATGAAAACTCTACTTAAAAGAACAGGTTTTTGGTGAATACACAACCTGTTCCCTAATCCCATGGTATCAGAATAAAACTCGTTACTTCTCCCAGTTTTCTGCCTCTCATATTTGATTAATCACAAGGGAAGCAGCCAGTTGTTGGATTGGGTTGTAGTAGGTCCTGAACAATTTTTTGTAGCAGGTCCTGAACAATTAATCACAATACTAGAGGGATTGGCAGTAGCAGCATACTACCAGAGAAGGGGGGCATATAACATCACTAAGGGTACCTGACCCTAAACCAGGGGAAGTGAGTGAAAGGTGGTACCTATAGAAACCTAGAAGAAACTGAGTTTAGTCTTTTTGCCTCAGCACAACCATTAGAAAGCGTTCAGAAGTTCTACTGCAGGACAAATAGCAGCCTACCTCACTCCCACCCTCCACCCCACCCCACACCCCCCAGCAAATCTCCATCTGATGCAAGACCAGGACAGTCCAACCTTTCAATTCATGGTTTAGCATAATAAGCTCTAGTAAACTTTTAGGTTCCTTGTCAAGGCTGAAGATCAAAGATCACCCTTTGGCTGGCCAAAGTCATAAAAGTGATACTACCACCACCTTTGGTCAAGGAGTTTGTGAATTGCAAATGTCTAACAAGTCTGTTGCAGGAAAAACCCATCCAGGGCCAAACTCCCCAAGTTAACCTAATCAGTCCTTTGTGACATACCTGATACAGATAAACCCCACCATGGCAGCAATCATATGACTAACCCACCCATCTGCCTGACATCAGTAGTTGCGCTTGCCTGCCCCTTTGTGATGATGTGGAGCAGACCACCACCCAATCACCTTAATGATCTTCCCCCATCAAGGGGAATGGCTAAAAGGACTGAACCACAAGCAGCCAGTGGTCATTGCCTTGCTAGACTTTGGTGTGGCCATGTCCTTTTTGAGCTATGACTGTCTCCACACTTCCTGGCTTTGGCTCCCTCCCCCACCTTGGGGAGGTAAATCTCTCTCCCTTCTCTCTCTCTCTCTAATTTACTTTTAAATAAATATTTTCTTCTCTCACCTCTTTGTGTGTTGCAATTCTTTGCATTATTCGAATCTCTGGGTTACTGGTGTTGCGCCTCCCCTCGCCTCTCCATCCACCCTCACTCTATCAGTACCCTAACAGTGAGGACCAGTTAGGTGCCCAAATTTCACCTGCACATAAACTACTTATGTATCTAATCCTGTCTTGTACCCCACATCTTTACAATAAAGGAAAAAAAATTTGTTTTTTTAAATCTTATTGGTGCTATTTTGTAGAATAAGGAACAATGTTGACAAGTTTTGTGGGGTTTTTATGTATTTTTTCAATCTCAAACTACTATTTTTATGTTTAACGTTTTCATTGAAATTTTTTTTGCAACTGGAGCCACAATGTAACAAGCATGGGGGAAAAGCTGTCTTGTTTCAATAGTTTTTGCTAATTTTTAGGTTGAAAGATGATGGATGCCTAGAGTTTACCTTATGTTTAATTAAAATCAGTATTTCTCTTAAAAAAAATTGTGGGAGTAACATTACAACCATTAAATATGATGCTAGCTGTGGGTCTTTGTAGATACTTGATAGCAGGTTGTTAAAATTCGCTTTTATTTCTAGTCTGCTCAGGGGTTTTTTATTTGTTTTTAAATTGTGAATGAATATTACATTTTGTTAATTTTTTCTGCATTTATTAAGATGACTATATGTGTTTCCTTTCTCCCTCTGTTAACGTACTGAATTACATTGCTTGGTTTTTAAGTATTAAGACAACCTTGTATTTCTGAGATTAAGTTTATTTACATGTTGCCAATTTTTATTTGGTACAATATTATATAGTACCTTTGTGGTGAATTTTTTTGTTTTGTTTTGTTGTGTTTTTTTTTTTTTTTGTGGGTTTTTTTGAGTTGGAGTCTCAGTCTTTGTCACCCAGGCTGGAGTGCAGTGGCACGCCCACGGCCACCGTAGCCTCCACCTGCTGGGCTCTGGTTCATCCTTCCGACTCAGCATTCCAAGTAGCTGGAACCACAGGTGTGCGCCACCATGCCCAGCGAATGATTTGATTTATTGCAGAGATAAGGTCTCGCCAATTTGTCCCGGCTGGCTTCAAACCCCTGTGCTCAAGCAATCCTCTCACCTCTGCCTCCCAAAGGACTGGATTACAGGCGTGAGCCACTGCGCCTGGCTTGCCTGAATTTTAATGTGTTGGTAGTGAGAAGAGATGTTGTTAAAAGCTTAATATTCATGTACCATAACATGGAGAATAAGCATATTACTTAGAAGCACATAAGCAAATATCAGAAATAACAGGCAAATACCAGAAATAACAGGTTAAAGAGTTAAAAGTGATTGTTTCTGGAAGCAGAAGGGTAGAGATGTTTTTGTTGCAGTTTGAGCACCATTTGAATTTTTAAAATTAGAGGTATGTGCACATTGCTTTGGTAGAAGTAAAAATTAAATTAGAATAGTTAAACCCCCCCATTTCGAAACAAGTCATTTGTTTTAGTTTTAGTTACAACTGATTCAGCTGGATTTTGGGGGGGAGAAGTGCATGGTGTGTGAACATCTGGAAGTGTCTTGTTTTCCCACTCACTGCAACTAACTTGTCCTAGCACAATTAATCCATCAGTCTTTCTCCCATGACTTATGAATGCTTTTTGAGTACATTTTGTGATGGTACTACACTAATTCGGGCTGTGGTGCAAATGAGTTCATCGTGGTGGTCAGGGTCATTCAAGGAAAAAAAAGCATAGAATGCATCATGGTACAGGGGTCTATTAAAAAACAGGCGGTTTGTAAACGCAATGGTTTGGAAGAATCTGGGAGTGGACAGATGGATGGAAAGGATAATGAATATTCAACGTGCAACAGTGACATTAGTTAAAGCGAAACTCTGGCATCTGCCCTTCGGGAGGAAACACCATGCTGCGTACCGCCAACACCCCGACGCGACGCAGGTACCAAGCCCAGAGGCAGGGATGCCAGGGGGCTCCGCTTTGATTTCGGGCGCCTGCCCGGCTCCGAACGCGATTGGTGGCGGCCGCGGCTTACGTCACTTCCTGCAGCGACCGGGCGCGTCCTCCCGCGGGCGCTATGACTGCCAGCGCGGAGCCTCGGGGGCGGCGGCCCGGAGTCGGAGTAGGAGTGGTGGTGACCAGCTGCAGGCACCCGCGTTGTGTCCTCCTGGGGAAGAGGAAAGGGTCCGTTGGAGCCGGCAGTTTCCAACTTCCTGGGGGTCATTTGGAGTTCGGGTGAGCAGCCGCCTAGCAGCAGACACGGGGATAGCGGAACGTGCGGGGAAAAGACGAGCTCGCAACCGGGCTCGGTGGCTCAGCCTGTAAGCCTGCGCCTTGGGAGGCTGAGGTGAGTGGATTGTCTGAGCCCCGCGGGTTCGAGACCCGCCTGGGCATCTTGGCGAGACCTCATCTCTACAAGAAATAAAAAAGTCAATCAGCCGGGCGTGGTAGCGCGCGCCTGTAGTTCCAGCTACTCGGAAGGCGGAGGCGGA